AACCCTGGCTGCCAGGGGCTGCCAGCCCAGAGCTGCTCTACCCTGGCTCAGCATGCTGTGGAGGGGCTGGCTGGGGCATGAGGGTGCTCATTAACGACTCGTGCCTCCTGAGGCTGTGGGGGCATGGCAGCTGCCCACAGGCAGCAGCAGTGTCGGCAGTGGGGGCATGGTGGTGACAAGTGGGGACTGCCTGCAGGCAGCCGCGGTGACGTCAGTGGCGTAAGCAGGCTGAGCAGGGACCACCTAGACCACAGCAGTGTCGGTGGCGAGGGGGGCATCATGCATCACCTATGAGGGTAGCCCCGCACTGTAGCACGTTTGTGCCACAGCCAGCCTCAGTCACCATCTATACATGTGCTGCAACACATTAAATAACTCCACCTGAGAATACTTGTGTTGAGCAGTACCATCCTATGGCAGAGTTAATTAGTTTACTTTAGCCTAATAGCACTGCTCAAATAGATGGTAATGCTTTCCTGCAGAGCTAATTAGGCAACTGCAGTAAGTGTTTTGTGGAGATGCATCCACTGAAGATTTGTTAAATTCAGAGTGTGCTCCACCTAGTGGACATGGACAGTCAACAAAGTGGTGGCAATTGAAAATTTATTACTTACGACAGGCTATCTATACGTCTTAATAGAGCAGGCGTTTCTGGTGCTGAGTAAATGGATGCAAACTCAGGGAACAATCAAAGAAATGTAAGGGATGAAAGGTCAAGTATTTCTGCAGCATTTAGAGAGTGAATCTGTTTGTCCCATGGAGAAATAATTGAACGTTTTAATTGAACACCAGGAAGAATCAGCCTGGTGCCACCACCAGCCCCTGCCTGCAGTGGCAACCTGCTGTTGTCCCACATGCAGATCTGGGGGCACGCACCCCTGGGAAGAGCCCAACGCAACCCCCCCAGCCTGTAGCCCTCCCGGGGGGCATGGAGCAGCAAGAGGCATGCCATGCCTCCCCCGCACCCACTAACAGTTCTGTTGCAGCTGGCACCAGTCTCTCCCAGACCTGCTGCAGCGGGGGCTAGGGTGAGTGCAGATAAGCTGCGCCATGTCCTGCGCTGCCCAGCTCCACTTGCTGCCACTCCCCCCAGCCCCTGCTGCAGTGGCCCCAGGAGCAGCTGACACCAGCTGCCTGAACCACAGCACGGCGCAGCCCAGGAGCTGGGGTGGATGGGGATAGGCAGAGCCCAGGTGCAGGGAGACAGGAGGAGCACAGTGCAGCCCCAGGAATGACACCTCTCCCCCGGTCCATTCCTTAGGCTTAGCCTCACTCCCTCCCTACCTCACCGCCTGAGAACATATCCCTATCTGTTACAGCTGTCTGAAGCTTCAGTAGCTGACTCAGCAGTCGAATCTCCAAATCTGAATCAGCCGAATCGAATCAGGACAGCGATTCCAGTCACCGAGTTGAATCACTGTCCCTCGAATCAGCCGAATCTGAATCCAAAGAGCAGGCGTTTCTGGTGCTGAGTAAATGGATGCAAACTCAGGGAACAATCAAAGAAATGTAAGGGATGAAAGGTCAAGTATTTCTGCAGCATTTAGAGAGTGAATCTGTTTGTCCCATGGAGAAATAATTGAACGTTTTAATTGAACACCAGGAAGAATCAGCCTGGTGCCACCACCAGCCCCTGCCTGCAGTGGCAACCTGCTGTTGTCCCACATGCAGATCTGGGGGCACGCACCCCTGGGAAGAGCCCAACGCAACCCCCCCAGCCTGTAGCCCTCCCGGGGGGCATGGAGCAGCAAGAGGCATGCCATGCCTCCCCCGCACCCACTAACAGTTCTGTTGCAGCTGGCACCAGTCTCTCCCAGACCTGCTGCAGCGGGGGCTAGGGTGAGTGCAGATAAGCTGCGCCATGTCCTGCGCTGCCCAGCTCCACTTGCTGCCACTCCCCCCAGCCCCTGCTGCAGTGGCCCCAGGAGCAGCTGACACCAGCTGCCTGAACCACAGCACGGCGCAGCCCAGGAGCTGGGGTGGATGGGGATAGGCAGAGCCCAGGTGCAGGGAGACAGGAGGAGCACAGTGCAGCCCCAGGAATGACACCTCTCCCCCGGTCCATTCCTTAGGCTTAGCCTCACTCCCTCCCTACCTCACCGCCTGAGAACATATCCCTATCTGTTACAGCTGTCTGAAGCTTCAGTAGCTGACTCAGCAGTCGAATCTCCAAATCTGAATCAGCCGAATCGAATCAGGACAGCGATTCCAGTCACCGAGTTGAATCACTGTCCCTCGAATCAGCCGAATCTGAATCCAAATCAAATACTTGCTGCTTCGCACAGGCCTACCAAGCACATAGGGTTTCCTGGAAGCTTACTGGTATCTCCCTTAACATAGTCCCTCATAGAACTTCTGCTCCAGCCTGCAGATTCCCCGAAGGTTGTTGCAACTGTGACGGGATGACTATGGTTGGTTGCCACTGTCTATCCTAGGCACCTGCCACAGAAGCCAGGAGATGTGCCCTCCTTAAGAGGAAGTAAATATCCTCTCTCCAGTGCTAGCCAAACATATCACACACATCCATAATGATGTAGGGGTCTTTCTTTTAATTTGTAATACCTTATAAAAGAAAAACAGGAAGTGGACAGAGAACTGAAGTATACAACAACTTTGCAAGCATTGATTAAAATGTAGATTGTACTTAAATTTTGACAATAATCATTAATAAAATTATAAAGACTTCTGTCTAGAAGCCATATAAAACCATTCTTTTGATCAATTCTATCATGACGTGAAGAGCTGCATAAGAAATCTGTCAAGCTAGACAAAAAGTCAAAATTACCACTTCCTCACCAATGGTACATATCAGGAAAAATTATAGGACATTGCAGCTACATACAAGCTATAAAGAAGTAAACAAAATAGTCATTCCAGAAATCCTTTATCTAGAATTTCAAAGATCCTTGATAGTTTACTTAGAAACTTATGTTACCCTTGATCAAAGCAAGGCTTATCATAAGGGATTCAGAAGTGAAGTAAGTGCACATTTGACAGCATTTGTCACACCTTAGACATCATAAGAATTGGTTCTCATTCTTTTTAGATCCCCTAATACCCTGTGGCACCTTAGTGTTTAATGGAGAAATGTATGAAAAATCTGAGACACGAAATCTCCTTGTACTTCTTTGGCAATGTCCTCATCTATAGCAAAGATGTCAGGGATTTCTGTATGGAGTATATCAGGAAAGTTGTCAAAAGTCATCAGAAATGTAATATCAAATTATGACTAAATAAATGTAATTTAAGTGGGAGGTGAGTCATTGTAGAAGGATGCTATCAGCTGAGAGTTCTAAAATGGATCCAAAAGACATACCTGTTGCACAACCTTTGAAAGAAAAAGCCTCTTTTATGATGAGGGAAGTTAAATATTGGCTACATTCCCTATCCTATTACAAGGAATGTATAAGGATTTTTGACTGTGTGACTTCCTTTGCAATCCCAAATACCTCAGCTTAAAAAGTGTTCAGGGAAAACAACAGCTACCTGTCAGCCAGTCAGTGTAACCAAGGTAACTACACTAATGAGTTTTGGAACAACTGATTTATATCCCAGCCAATTCAATAATTTGGGCCTACCCAGATTTTTAACAACAGTTCTTTTTGCATACTGATACCTCAAATAAGGAGTTAGGGGTAAACCTATACCAGCATCGTGAGGAAAATCTCTGGGTGTCTGCCTAAGTATCCAGTACTCTAATGCTGAGAGAGAAGAGCTACAGTTTGCCTTCTGAGAAACTGGCATGTCTAGCTCTGCAGTAGACTTTAACATCAAGGTTCAGAGAATCTCTCTTCCACACACCATAATTTGCAATCTAGAGCAGTAGTGCTCAACCTTTCAGCCTCACGGGCCAGATGAGTGGTGTGGGGCCAGTCTGCAGACTGGATCCCTTGCAGGGATGGCACGTGGGGTTAGGCCCCACATGCCCAGATCAGGCCCAGCATGTTCATATCAGTCCCCATGCTGCCTGAGCCCAGCCTTGCACATTGGAATCCAGCCTCACACTGCCCTGCCCCAACACTGCCCCAGCCCCATGCACCCAATATAGTGCACAGTTCTGTGTTATCTGGCCCACCATGCTTCCCACAGAGTGTCAACTTGGAGAGCAGTAGCAATTAACACTGCCATCACTCTCACCTGGCAGGCCAAGTGATACAGCTCCATGGACTGGGCTGGCCTGTGGGCCAGGGGTTGGGCACCCTGATCTAGAATGGTGATAATTCATTACAAATATGAAATAACAATTATCTCAACTAAATCCTTACAGTTCTGGGTGGGTTTCAGACATTTCAGTTTGAATTTAACTGTAAAATATCCTGAGAAAGTGAACATTGATGCTATTATCCAGGAAACCCTTAAATATGGAGGTATACATGAGGGAAAGCACAGTAGAGTATGATCCTAAGAATGTTTGGGCAATTATTCAAGGAAGGAATGTGCAAAATAAGAGCCATGGAGAGAATTTTGCCAACTACATTTATTTTCCCCACTCTGAAAGCAAATGAGTGCAATATATCAAACCCAATAGCAAGAACAAATGTCCTG